AATAAATTTTGAATACCAGAGAAGTAGCAATAATAATTATACTTATATGAAATCTTATGTCCTATAATGTAGCTATGTATCAATAGGATCTTCCCTTTCTTTTTACAGAATATACTATATTTTGAAGATAACCATCATAATAAGCATGTTACAATAACATTTAGAATTCAGCCCTTTGATGATAACCAATGCAAACATTTTTAACAACATTTAACAAGGCATATCTTTTTATAAGGCTATGAAAATTATTTGGGTGGCTCCCATTAGTGAACAAAGATCAGAATAAATTTTCTGAGCAGCTCCTTCCTCATTTACCAACAGGAGCATATCCAAACTTAAAGATTATTTTTATTTGACCCTATAAAGCCAGGTTGCAGAAATCAACAATCTATTTGTATATGACGTCATTTTGATCAAGAACATACAAACATCTTTGAACACTTAAGACAGACAAACATATAACACTTAAGACAGACAAACATATAAGACTTAAGACACACAAACATATAACTTATGACAGACAAATATATAACACTTAAGACAGACAAACATATAAGACAATTTTAATGAGTGCACTCAGATGGTTTTGGCCAATTGAACTATAAAATCTTTTTGTTATGACTAGTCAAAATTTTTGCAGATCAAAATTAACAGAGATCTCTTGTAGAATTAGGGTTAAAGGAATGAATACTCTTCTTGACTATAAATGTAAACCTTTTATAACAAACTTGAAACCAACAAGCAAGCATTTTATAAATCATTTCCATAAACATTCTCTACATTCTTAGGTAAAGACAAGAGGAACATACAAAAACCTTTCATGTTAAGAGTACAACTCTTACTTATAGCTTTCCTAATATTTTTCTATCTCATGTACTATTAACCTTCTATAACAAACTACTATTTTGTTCTTTATTTTGGTCTATAGTCAGTTTAGAACATACCCTCGCTTGGAGTGTGTGTGAGGAGGGACAGGCTGGTCAACAGATACAAAGTCAAAGTCACAGCCAGATGGGAAGAATAAGTTCTGGAATTCTATTACACTGATTATTAGTCAACAATACTGAAGAGTACTTCAACATGGCTACAAGATAGGATTCTGAATGTTCTCATCACTAAGAAATGATAAATGTTTGAAATGATAGATAACCTAAGCATCCTGGGTTGATCATTTCACAATATATAAATGTAATAAAATACTACTCTGTATCACATAATGATACACAAGATTATCTCAGTAAAATAATTTAAAAGAAATCCTATAAATCCATACAATTTGTGTGTCAAAAGCTATTAGACCATACATAAGAAGTGACACTAGTATACACATACTAAAACTAGCAGGCTTATACAAAATAATCTTAGAAACAATTAAAATAGTTAAGAGTAGCTATAGTAGCTAAACAGATATAAGTAATGACCTTACTTTATCTTCTAAAACAATTAGGTTTCTATCTCCAACACTGAACGTCCTTGCATATTACCTCAAAATGTTGTCCTTCTCTAACCCTCAAACACAAGCAGAATTCTGTGCTGTTCTTGCAACAATAATAGCTATCACAACATCTTAACCTCATCAAGAAGTTCAAATACAAAAGGAAGACATGTCTGAGCTTACAAATCATGCTAAATATTTCACCTTCACAATTAAAAGTGAAAACTTTTCAAAGAAAAGAACTAAATCAAATTATAACCCCATAACATATATTCTTCTTTAGCCCCAAGATCTGGCCCAAAAAGCTCTGTGAAGAAATTATTAGTCACATTAGGGGTATCACACTATTTTAATCCAAATTGTCAAATCAACAGTAGCCAACTAACTGAATGCATCACAAATTACCAATTCAGACATTAACAGGAAAAGAAAGACACAGAAGCAAAGAAAAGGAAACCAAGGACAAACTATTTCTACAAATTCTAATAAATTACACAATTGCTGGTGTCCTACTCTAGCACCACCGACACACAGTAAATCTTTAAGCACATGTACAAAAAGCATGCAACTCTTGCCAGCTCCCATTTTTAATATTTTTCCTTTTTGTTGAGATCTCCTTTTTAGTGGGAGTTTTGAGAGCAGTATTTAAGAGTGCCCAATAGGAGAATAAGCTCTCCAGAAACCTATCAGGATTGGAGGTCAAGGCCTTCTGCAGCTGTTTACCTACTCTTCCCCAGACCTCTAGATTTATCTCAGCCTCGTCACACAACCATGGACAAACTTCATCCAATATTTTCACAAATGCTTCCAATTGAGCCTTCTTAACTTTAACGCGTTGTACTTTTAGCAACTTTTGTATAGAGTTCCCTACATAACCTCTAGATTCCATTTGACCCATACTTTAACTAAGAATTTGAGGGCTTACACCCCTTGTTACCACTGCCATGATCAGGACTAACGTCCCCTGTCTCTCACCAGCAGGCACTTTCCTTTTTATTGCCGTGGTCAGGACTATCGTCCCGTCTCTCATCGGCAAGTGCTTACTTCTACTGCTGTGATCAGGACTATTGTCCCCTGTCTCTCATCTGCGGCACCCTCTTCTACATTTCCCTCTACTGCCCTGATCGGGACTATCGTCCCCTGTCACTCACCGGCTGGAGCCATGGGGATCAGTCGCGGTTCTTGTTGTAGTGCCCTGGATCGCAGGGCGCTCTCCTCGATGTCCCTCTTACTCAGGTCCCTGTTCCGGTGCCACTTGTCATGAGCCGCAACGTCAGAATCCTGCCAGCAGGTCCCAAACCTGAGGGAAGAACAACAGGAGAGCAAACAGTTTCACAAACTTAGTTCCAGGCTCATGCTCTCTTCATAGCAAGGCCCCATTTTATTTTTCAGGGTGGGGTATATATAGGCTAAAACCGAAACCAAAAGTGTAAACAGGGTGTAGCCGACTGCAAAGGTCACAAGGTTCTACAAAACAAGTATTATGGGTTACATTTGCTAGGCACAAGGTCAGACCACCAGTTGAACTAGCCCGTTGCTATGGGCGACAGCACCTCCGTGCCGGCGAGGTGACTCAAAGTTCAATCATGGCTATGCCTATGTCAAGGCTCACCATATCAGAGAAAACTGGTTACTTTACATTTTCAAGCTTGGTAAGGACAAACTGCTTCCTTCTTTAGAGGAAGTCCCTCATTTCTCTATTGCTGTCAACTTTTTATCTTTTGTTCTTGTGTGTTATTTTACATCTCAAAACTTGGCTTAGCTGTTGAATTAGCTCTTAACCTAGGTGGGCTATTTTGTTCTATTCAATTCTATCCTTAGGCTGCTCTTGATATAAGAAAATATAATTTTTAAATTCATTAAAGGTAGGATGTGCTGATTCTGTAGTCTCGAGTGACATTGGGAACAAATAAATGAAGGAGTATGGGAGGGTCTCACTGGAAATAGGGAGAACGATAAGTCTTGGTTTTCCAGGAAGGGTCCCCACCTGAGGCCCTTTGACAGGGATAATTCACTAAGTGCTAACGACATGGGCAAACTAGAATCAACCTACAGGATCCCAAGTATAGCTGTTTAGCTAATATTGATCCAACAGAGCAATAGGGAAATTGGATATAGAGGAATAGAAAACTGGAAGTTGGGAAATCGGAAGGAGGCACATTCAAAATAGGAAAGCAAGAAACTGATCCAATAGGGAAATGGTCCTGTAGCAAGGTAAAGATCCAGATATTCTTGGAAAGGTAGGGGAGTACGGGTCTAGATGTTCTGGTCACCCACTTACGTGTCTGATGCCTATCTGTGGCTCGTTGGTCCAGGTGACAGCAATTGCAGTATAATCTCGCATTGCTGTTTATCTATAGGAAGACATGCAGGGCTTGGTATTGCTTTTCCATCCTGAGGCCTGGTTCTCTTCAGATTTGTCCTGATCCACAGTTCTGCTATCTTTTTATTTTGTGCTGATTTCTTGAAGTATCAATCCCTCTCTGACTGTACATTAATCTCTAGCTTATCTGCCTATAATACTTTGCCTGCCTGCACATAAAAACTAAACTAAACTACTACAATATTAGATGTCCGTTTGAAACATGCATTGTATTAGAGTTAAAGGAAGGGCCTGTGAAGTTACTTCAGGAGAAGTATGATAGTAACTATCCTAGCTATGTTGCTGTCACTATTATACTCTATCAAATACCTGGTATGAACCTGATTTAGAACTAAACACTACTAATACATTCCATGTCACTGTGCTGTGCTACACTAAATGTATTGTTACCTCACTAAACCAATTAGACTGTTTTTTATAACTGGCTGAGTTCATACAGCAGGTGCGTGTGGTAGGACTAGAACTTCTGGTTGGCTTACGCCCTAAAGGTTCATTGGCATCACTTATTCTTGGTGATTTTTACACTATATAAAATTGAATCTCGCAAGATAAAATATTGGCAGATATAGGGACATACAAAATGATGATGTAAAGGCCTGTGTTTTAACTACATACAATTGTAAAAAAAATTAGCCCAGTATGGGGGTGCGCACAATACAGTTAAGTGTAGAAGTTTATAGAGTGACTGATTGCAGAAACAATCACATATCTTACCTTCAGTATATAAAAACACAAATTGAAAAACCGAAACATATTTTTGAAGCCAAAAATAAAAGAGTTGATCAGAATCTTCTTTGTACAGTACAAAAATAAAAAAGTTTGAGAAGCATGGGTTGATTGTATCTCTTTTCTTTTTATGTTACACACACACACACACACACACACACACACTCTCTCTCTGTATTATATTCACATATCCCCGTGGTCATATAGTTGATATAAAGAGTTCTAGGTTTGCCAAGAGGCTTGAATTCTTATTCTAAAGTTGTGTGCTGTAGCCTTTGATCAACAAGAAAACGTACAACATACATGGGAATTCTGAGCCTAAACTGTTTGGGTCTGTCCTTCGCTAGCTTTGTGATGTGTGTCAAATTCTCAGGGCCTTACTTTTCTTAAGTATGAATTGGGTTATGAGGGTTAATGAAATATTACATTAAAGTTTTGGACTAGTGCTTGCCAAATGGTACAAGTGTTATGTCCGGAATCCCCAAGACCTCCACTGGGTCTTGTTGAATTCCCTTGCTCTTTCCTTCCCTTGACCAACATTTTCCTGACCGTTTCCGGGAGCTAACGTGCCCCCTCTGCTGGAGGACAGCGTCAGGGCCAAGCACGCCGCCTGGTTGTTATGGGTACCGCAGTGACGCGGTCGCCAAGGAGACCAAAGCGGAAACAGAGGAGCAGCCTGGCTGAGGTGACGCTAGAGACTGGGGTCTCAGGTGAGTCAGCCGGCTGCCAGTGGAGGTGGCAGGAGAGGGTCTAGGGTGAGCCGAGCCGGGGTGGTGCTAGGAGCGAGGCAATGTGAGAGGAGAGAAGACTGGAGGGGAGTTGGGGAGTTGACCCCGGGGCCTGTTTGCCAAAACTAAGGGCAGCGGGACCCAGCCGCTTCCTCTGCTTCTTCCTACATTTTTTTTTTTTTTTTTTTTTTAAACTGGGGATCGAACTCGGGTCCTTGCATTTTCGAGCTAAATCCTGGCCCCGCTGTGCTTCTTCCTCCTTTTAATACACAAAAGACAAGATGTCAATGAATGGAAAAGTGAAACAGAAAATCCAGGGCCGTCTTCAACTGGATCCTCCTGCAGACCCTTCTTAGCAAATGCCAGCCTCTTTTATCCTCCGTGCCCCATGAGAAGCCTTATCATAGCCTCCCATGAAGTGTTTTTCCTTTGTTCTTTTCTGTCCACATGTACTTCATTCTTGAAATCCACTTTTCAAGTTAAGCTACAGTTAGGGGAAGGAGTCCTGTGAAATCTGAAACTGTGTAAGCTTCTTTTCTTTCCAAAATAATCGTTAGAAGCATATGTGTGTATATGTGTATACGTATATAAACACACACATGCACACATAGATCCTTGACTTTTTTTTTAATCCTTGACTTTTTAATCTAAAGTTAGCAAATCTTTAAAAAAGTTTTTCAAAGTTGAAGCTACCCAGGATTAAAATTATAAAAACTACATAATTATGGAAATCTAAAACCCTCCACAGCCTTTTTTTTTTCATGCTTAATCTTATAGGCTACATTAAGGCCTATACTTATCTCTCATAGAAGTACCACTTGTATTACAGGTGCATAACCTGAAAGTAGGTCTTTTGGTTACTTCCATTTAGGGTCTTGCAATTATTTTATTTGCTTTTATATATTTTCCTGTTTTCTGCACACGACAGTGCAAGTTCAATGAAGATTGACATCAGTGCTTAACTCAATACTTGACATAAGGGAGGTGTTCAATGTGTATTTGTTAATTGTTCATGGAGGCTTTTGGTAGAAGACATGGACTAAAGAAAACAAAAGTTTTTTTCATGTGTGTGAAAAAAGGGAGAAAGTGCTTATTTCATAGGATAGATATTCAATAAGTTGAAAGCAGTAGAAAAATTCAAATGCTTAAAACCTAGTACATTATCAGAATTGCACAATGTATAGGCAATTTACTAATCGCTGGTGATTTAAAGATCAGTGGTGGGATCCTGAAATATTTGAGCTACTTAAGGAATCTTCACTTAGATAAGCAATGATGCAAAAAATAACACCAAGCAGCATGAAGTAGCAAACAAGCTTAATGCATGCGAAAATATATAAGGAGCTCATTTTTTAAAAATTTAAATTGAATTTATTGGTACATTCTAGGTACACAGCACAGTTACATTCATTACTGGGATCTTGTACCTTTGCATGACAGGTCTTGGTTCTCATTTTTTCCCCTTGTCCCTGCCCTCCCTTCTCCACCTCCTTCCCTCCCCACCTGAGAAGCTCATTTTTGATACAGGAAATTTTCAGGAGAGAGGTGATCTTTGAAGTGAGCATTAAATAGAATAAAATTTGCTGAGTGAGGAGGTAGTAAATAAAGCAGAAGACATAGGAAAATTGTGCTGCATAATGGGAGATCTGAAGTGCCACACAGAATAACTGGGTACTATTTTTCCTATGAGTGTAAGGAATTTTTTAGAGACAAAATTTAGTAACTTTATGTTACTTGAAAGCAATTTGATGACCCAAAGTTTTTAAAAAATATTTGGAGATAACGCTATGAAAATTTTTAAAAAGTTAACAAAAAACAATTCTTTCTCTAACTTTCCTTTGTATATATGGCATGGAAAGAACATGAAAGAAGAAAGAATATTTACCAACCAATCTACTAAACGGTATGAACTGATTGCCACTTTAAGTACATAGAACCATATTTACAGCTAACAGGACTGGGAAGAAAATAGTGATTTCTGGTTTTGTGACATGTCTTAGGCCTATTTAACTTACTAAAACGTAAACTATCCATGAGAAAACACATAGGGTAATAGATTGTATGAGAGTGGGTAGTCTAGATGAAAATTTAAATGACTTTGGTTTCTGAAAGGTGTGATTAAGAAATGCAATAATTTCATGGTTGTTTGTAATCCCATAACATTTCTAGTCCATGTGTGTGGGAGCCTGCTGGCATTTGACATTGGAAAAGTAACTTCTTCTACCATTGAGGCATTGACACAATCTATGACTCTATTTGGCTTTTCTGAGATGAGGGTCTCAGCTATGCAGATGAGATTGACCTGGAGCTCACTGTGTAATCCAGGCTGGGTTTATGGGATTACCAGTGTTGACATGGAGCTCACTGTAATCCAGACTGGTTTTATGGGATTACAGGCATGCACCGCCACTCCTGGCTCAAGGACTTTGTTAAATTTGACCTTGTGATGGGAGGAACTCAGATAGCCAAAGATCTGATCTCCTCCCTAATATTGCTTGATACTTCCTGTTGGCCTGCCTTTAAAAGGAGCTGTTTCTGTGTAATAAATCGGACCTCTTGTCTCCACACTATTGAGTGTGCTGTCCTTTCTCAATCCTCACTCCCCAACTCATGTACGTTCGTGTTGTGACGGCCGGACCGCCACAGATGTGAGATTAATAATAATTATTGTGCCATCCAAACACTATAGAAGAGTTTATATAACCCAGCCCTAAGGCTTATGATGTAAAAAATCATGAAAGCAGAAGTGCTTTGTGTAAAGCAGTCTTGACATTTCTCCCACGGCCTTCTGCAGGTGGTTTCTTATGCTATCCCTTTCTCTCAGAGACTTTTAAGAGACCACAGCTTTATAGCTCATAGATCAGAAAACTTTGGTTTGATGTGCTGCCCATCCAGTGACATCAGGCATTGATATTTGGGTTGCTTTCACAAACTGGAAACATGTGAGGGAACATCAAGTCCTAATGAACAGTTCGGGATTATAATAGATACATTATGTGTGGACAAAAATGGGACTGGGGAAGAAAAATAATACAATCTAATAAATGTGTCCAGAAAAATTTCCAAATCACTTCTAAATGCTGGTATTTAATTGCAGAAAATGAAACAGAATAACTGAAAGACACAAGGAACTATGAGGCTTGCATAACACAAAGTTTATCTCCCTGGCTTCCAAAGGTAACTAAAGTTTTGAGCTTTGTTATTAATGCTCCTGACATTGTTATAGCCTCACTGTCTCAAGAAAGGTAACTAATTTTCCATTGGCTTTAAGAAAGGAAACAGGCAGAACAGCATGACTCACAATTATAATCTTCCCTTTTTTCTCCATGCAGGAAAATTGGCTTATGTGTGTGACTTGATAAAAGATTTAATTGAAAAGAAGCCTTACTAATTGCATTCAGTGAAGTGAAATGCCCCTGAAAAAGACCATTTATTGATTAAATCACATTATCAGCAGAGCTATTAATCTGAGTAATTTCATTCTAATGAGATTTTTGAGAATATTTTTTCATGCTTTGTACAGGTATAATCAATCATTGTGTATCAGCTTGGCATTATGCATGTGTACATAGAAATAAAATTGTATACCCCTGTGTGTAAATAAAATTGGGGTAATTAAGATTATTTCATCAATCAATCAGAGTGATTAATTATGGGGATTTAAAATATATTTTCTATGATAATAACATGGAAATTTGTGAGACGGTATCTAGGGAAGACAAGAGATTAGCAGTTGGGTTTTCTGTGTAGGATCGGAAAGGGGCACAGACTCCTTGATATTGAGAAAGCTTTTTCCTGGAGGTTTCTTAAAGGTGGCTTTTGTAGCCTTTATTTGATAAAACTAGATAAGTAATTCTTATAATGATAATTGCTTAATTTGGAGATAGTAGAAGAGAGTTTCATTGGAAAATGCTGTCATCTCCCTCCCCAAACACAAACCAAATCTTAGTTTTCCACTCCTGGAGTATTTTAACTTTCTGACAGTTATTTTAGCTTTTATAGACAGTACTTCATGGTGAAAAACAAATCTGAGTTAGTTGTATTCCTTTGATACTTCTGTCAGAATAATGTGATAATATCGTATTTGCCATTTTGGCCTTGCTACCTGTAGCGGAGGTCAGGAAGAAATAGGAAGATACATAATTTTGATTGCAATTCCAAATGTATTCGCACTTAATCCCATGATGCAACCACTATGTTGCTCAAAATGCAAATTATTTTGTATAATTTTATTTTGCAATTATCTTCAGAGAATAACTCCTTCACAATTTTCTCTAAGATGGTAACACATACTCTTTGAAATTAGATTTGATTTTTAGAGGTAGTTTAAATAATTTGGAGTTAAATTTAAGTAAGCAAAATAGTTGATCTTGTTGAATAACATTTTTAGTTTTTTAAAAAATTTATTTTCCTTTTTAGTTTGTTTTAAATTGACACATTTATTTATATGTATTTATAAAGTATGGTATGATAGCATAAAATGTATATATCACATATGATGATTAAATCAGGCTAATTAGCATTTCCATCTCCTCAAACATGAATCATTTCTATGCGTTGGAAAGTTTTGAATTATTGTATATTGCTCTTGACAATGTTTATCCTACTGTGAAATAGAATATCAGAACTAATTCCTTCTATCTAGCTGTGTTTTGGTATTTCTAATCTAATCTCTCTCCATCCCTCTCCTTTTTCCCCTTCTCAGTCTTTGGTTACTATTATTTCATTCTCTTTTGCTATGAGATCAAATTTTTTAGTTTGCAAAAATAAGTGAGAACATCGAGTATTTTTTGCTTGATCAATTTTACTTTTTATAATGTCTTGGAGCCTATTTGTTTCTTCAAAGGACAAAACTTAATTTTTGTGGTTATTAATGCATTTTATTCATCTATTACCTATTTATATCTATACATGATAAATGGAAAATATGATACATAACTTCTACACTGCTTTCCATAGTAGCTATATTAATTTAAATCTCTACTAACAGTGTACTGTATAAGTTTCCCTTTCTCTACATCCTTGCCAGCATGTTTTATCTATTTTAGGTAAGACGTTTTAATTGGTAACATATTTCATTGTAGTTTAGATTTACATTCCTTTGGCGACTAGTGGTATTGAGTATTTATTTGCTTTTAATTCATGAAAATCTCTACATATCTATGAAGTACCATATAATGTTGCGATATGTATATACGTAGTATAATATTCAAAACAGGGTGAACACATCCTTCTCCTCAAATGTTTACAATTCCTTTGTTGTAAAACCATTCAAAATCATTTCTTCCGGGTTCACTTAAAATATATAATATATTAGCATTATTTGTAGTCACTCTGCGGTGCATTAGTTTACTGGAACTTATTTTTCCTATCTAACTATAACTCAGACCCATTAATCAACCTGTTTCCATCTCTCTTTCTCTCCCTCCTCCCTTCTCTCTCCCTAAATTCAAAAATTGAATTGTTTGGGGATTTTTGCAGGTAAATTGTTTGATTTCCTTATGTATTCTGGATATTAGTTTCATCTCACATGAGTCATTGGCCAATAATTTATCTTATTTCCATTTTTAAATGCACAACAAAATTGATTCATATATCTGTTTAATATATGACGATCTCTCCCCATAGTTATAAAAGAGGCATTCAAAAAGTGTTTCTATCATTAGTTGCACTATTGAAATTATGAATGGCTCCTCAAAGAACAATATTGAAGAACTACTCATTTGGTTAGGCAGACTTCCATTTGTCTAACCCAATTTTGGTGTTATCTTACATAAGTCTTAGAGCAAAGTCTGTAGTCTTACTTTCTGTTTTTCCCACTAGAACTTTCACTGATTCTCACTACTTACAAAATAAATTCCAAATACTTGAACTTGGCATGTAAGCTCGTCATTTTTGAGCCTCTGCTTCTATAAACCTATGCTTGTTTTTTCCTTCCATGTGCCCTGCATACCAAACAAATTGAACTAATTAAAAATCCCCATTCAGGAGTTTTTCCCTCATAGGACTGAATGTTGAGCCAAATTATATTTCATCAAGAAGCTACCTTTCCTAAAAGGAGATGGGAGAAAAAGTAAAAAGAGTCAACAAATGGACAAAAACATGATAAGAATAAGTCAAAATATATCAGTTGTAACCATCAATGTTAATGGCCTCAATTCACCAATCAAGAGAAACAGATTGGCAGAATGGATTAAGAAGCAAAATCCAACAATATGTTGTATACAAGAAACACACCTAGTGCAAAAGGAAGTCCATAGACTGAAAGTGAAAGGATGGAAAACAATTCTCCATGCGTCAGGAGTCCAGAAAAAAGCAGGGGTAGCAATCTTATTCTCAGATAAAGTAAATTTCAAACCAAAACTCATTAAGAGAGACAAAGAAGGACACTACATCCTTGTAAAGGGAACAATTCAAGAGGAAGAGCTGACAATCATAAACATATATG